GCCCGGAAGACCCACACCAGCCATCGTATGCCGGCCGTGAAAGCCTTCAACAATACATTCTTTGAATGAAACTTGAGTTTTTAGGAGTTTTGAGATTTTTGAGACTCAATACAATCTACATATTGTGTGTGTGTGTGTTTGTGTTAGTTATATAGGTACAAATATTTTTGAGATAGGAAATGATGAGTTGGAGGAGAAGGTGCATATGAGAGTGAATGTGAAAGTGATTAGAAAATCCAGCAGCCAGTCAACCACTGTGGATGCTCACCTTATAAAAATCTAAGCTGAATCCTGCTTGACAGTAACCTTGCCCCTCAGGATCTGGGTTGTCTGAAGGTATCAAAGGATGAACACTGAGTTAGTTTTATATTGTAAATTGACTCAAATATTATCATAACTAATAGGGGAGGGTTTTCCACCAGTTAACAGGCTGCAAATGTAATCTCTTTTTGTGCTAAAATTTAGGCAACAATTTTTAGATGAGTTCTAGGTCCAAAGTAAAATAAGAATGGTGACAATGAAAATGATAATGATAATACATGAGCATCCAAAGCCAGAACCAAAACCAGTGCGTGAGTTTTGGAAAGGAAACATGGATCTAAGCAACAAGTTCATATTTGGAAGATCCAAAGATGAAGATGAAATCCTTGATTTGGTTTGTTTCTACATGAGAAAGGACCTGGGATTGCACACATTTTGGCTGCAGTCCATCCAAGCCAGAGAGTGTGCAAAGGAACCAGAACAGTCAAGATGGCAACTGCAATCACATGATCAAAGTACCACTCCTTTTTTACTTCTTTTTTGCATATACCATGCAGATAAAATAGAGGCAGCTGCTATTATGAATTTTTGAGCCCCTCCTGGATGCCCCTGTCTCCGTACATTCTGATGATCTTAGCGCAAGTTCAAGCAGTTAACTGCTAGTTCTACAAAAAGAGACAGAGAGAGGGATGGCTAAATCTGGAGTGATCAGCTGCTTTTAAAATTTGGCTTCTGCTTATCAAGGTCTGTTTGCCATATTGAAAGTTCTTTTAAATTAAGCCAGAGTTGACTTGTCATCACTGCAGCACCAGCCTCATCATTATTCTTTTAATGAAACATAAAAGCTTCCCAAATAAAAAAAATATAATTAAGTGTCTCTTTGTAACCAAGGGCTATTGATTCAGAACTGCATGCCTAGGCTGAACACATGAGATCACAGATCAAAATTGTTCTACCGAGTTCAAATTGTACGACCCAAAGAACTTACTGTTACGGCAAGGAGAATATTCCACATAGGTGCTGAAATTCTGAACAGCAACATAGCAGGTGCCCACTGGATCTTTTTCAGGAGCAGCCTTCAGAGTTCTCCAATGATATAAGGGCGCACAAGCCTATCAAAACATAAGTTGCACAACAAAAAATTTTAAGGTGTTTGGATTAGGTTTACAGTACAGTAATTTGTGTTATACCAGATGTATTTTTTATAAATCCAGGTTACTGCTTTCCAAAGTATTGACATTGCCAGGACTCTCAGCAAGACGTACATGTTCCCACATCTGCTGCTCTTTTCCTTGCTCTGTTCTATCCTCCGTTCTGCTCAGGTGCAACTGCCCAGTTGACTGAGAGATCCAGGAGCTCTCCCCAACTCCCACCTTGTTGGCTGTAGTACTCCAAACAATTACAATTTAAAAAAAAAATTAGGCAGTGGGGCAGTTAAAAAAAAGAAATCACTGCCTGAGCCCCCAAAGAGCTGTTCTGATCTATATGCATTCATTCATTAGATTTACATCCCATCTTTTATCCTGAAGCTCAAGAACCATACATAGGAACTTGCCCTATGGGACAGAGCTATGCTATGAAATATGAAACCCAAAGCCACACAGTAACATTCCATGGCTGAAGCTGGGTCTCTCTAGTCCTAATCTAACCCTAATCCAACCATGGCACCACACTGCCTCTTTTAAGATAGATCAGCTTAACTCAACTGGAGTCCTTAGATGTTTATTTATTTAGAATATTTGTCACTTATAGGTAATACTTGGGCTACAACCACTCATTCAGTGACCGTTCAAAGTTACAACAGGGCTGAAAGAGGGGGATTTATGACTGGTCCTCAAAGTTGTGGCCATTGCAGCGTTCCCACGGTCACACGATCCCAATTCTGGCATTTGGCAACTGGCTTGCATTTACAACAGTTGTAGCACCCCACGGTCATGTGATTACCATGTGCAACCTTCCCTGCCAGCTTCCCACAAGCAAAGTCAATGGGGAAGCCAACAGGAGGACACAGGTCGCTCTCATTGCTTTTTCTCCCAAGGAACCCCCAGATGACAGGGTGAGTGCAGACCCCGGGCAGGCGGGCAGCCACCTTCCTGGCTCCACTTGCGCCAGGTGGTGGCACGTAACCCCCACCCGGCTACACTCATGCCACACTGCAGCACCCATCCTCCCACCTGCCTGCACTTGCTCCTGGCCATAGCATCTATCTGTGTGCCCAGCCACACTTGCCCCACACCACAGCACCCACCTGCATTTGCACCACATCACCCACCCCCACCTGCCCACACTCCATAGCACTCACCTGCCTGCCAGCCTGCTTGTGAGTTGCCTAAGGAAAGGCTTGTTGTGACCAGGACCTGTGACTTCCTGCCAGCTTCCCCACTGACTTTGCTTGTTGGAAGCTGGCAGGAAGTCACAAGTCGTGGTCACATGAGGTCCTTGTTTAATGACCCGCAATCATTGCTTAACAATGGCAACGGGGACTGCTGGGATTGCCATCGGTAAGTGATATGGTCATGTGACATTGCGCTTTATGACCGCATTGCTTAGCAATGGAAATTCCAGTTCCAATTACCATTGTTAAGTGAGGACTACCTGTACTGCCTTAATATCTCATGGTGGTTCATGTTAAACTAGAATTTTCATTGCCCCTACCCTTATCCTCATGTGCTATGGATGATAGGAACTCTAATCCAGCAAAAACTCTGAAGGTCCTAAAGTTGAAAAAACCAAGGACAAATACTTTGATGCTCTAAAAGTCATGTTCATACAAGGGTTCTTTGACCTGCAGGGTTAGTATGGATTCTGATATTAAGCAAACAACAGTAAATTAGTAAAACTACAGTATGTTACTATACAATATTTGCATAGTAAGGAAATAGAGGCACAGATAGCAAATCCAGCATCACTACTGCTTTCCACATTTTCTGATCTTTGAACAGAGCCTGTCTGGGGAAATTTCCTGGGCTTGAACAGAGACACTACATAGATAATTATATGGTGTAACTGGTGACCAGTAGGGCAATTTCTAGCCTACTGTTTTAGTCTTCTTTCTCCCACTAAACTTAGGTAGATTCACAGACGTTTTATGCATGAATAAAAATAAACAACTGTTACTGCAAGTGAGCAGCACAGAGCCTTAAACATCTTTAAAACAGTAAAAGCATATGACAGAAAATTAGGTCTCAAAAGACTTACTAAACAGAAGCACTTTTAACCTGGTCAGAAAACATTTCCAAGAAGGCAATCACATTTGTGGCAAAGGTGCTTACTGAATGCTTCCTTTTCCCATTCGACATCCAACGAATCTCAGAAGGCAGGAGCATGAAAGGAGGAAGTCCTTCAGTTGCTCAAACTACTTAGGGCCTCAAGATGTAACAGAGCAGTTTTGACTATTCTGGTTAAAAGAAAATATAGCGAGGAGCTTTCCTAATTTGCAATGTTGTTTGATACTGTCTTTATATAAGAAAAAGCCCTGACTTGCTAATAGATTATTGTGACCTCCTTTCCCGCCTGAAAAATCTGATAAACATCACAGACCACTGATCAATAGATTTTACAGACAGCTACCTTATGCTTCTGCAATAAACTAGGGATTATCATTACCAGCAAACAAACTTCTTCAGCAATCCCACGGCTTTTTCTTCTAGCTTTACCTTCTCAATGAAGGCCTTTTTTTACAGAGGTTAGTGAGTTACAGCTAGAGATATTGTCCAGTTAGGATTGCAAGCTCAAGGAATGCCCTTAAACTGTTACATATGTTGGCGGGAAACCAGACTAACTAGGGGGCTTGTTTCTTGGGTGTGACTGTGGATATTGCTGTTGGATACATGACAGCCGCCTCCGTTGAGATGAAAACAGTAGGAAAGGAGCCTGGCTACCTCTTTGGAATGCCTCTGTCTCCTCCACTTATGGGTTGGGCGCCCTTTTGGTGGCTTGGAATTCTTCTCAAAGAGATGGCTGTTATTTTGGGGATGGATGGGATTCTGACCCTTTCCCTGGATATTTGAGATTTGGGTTTTTTATCTTGTTTTACCATTTGTTTTAAGCTGGTTTGATGTAATTTTTGTCTCAAAAGGGAGCAAATGGATGCTTTTGATTATTACCGATTAAGGACAAAGAAGGTTCAGTAGGCACAAAAAGGGGTTTAGGACATGTTCTGTTGATATATTGCTACATAAAACATGTATTACGAAGGTATCGTAAGTGTCCAGTTCTCACTCAAGCCCAGAAATTCTTACAACTCAAGGAAACAAGGGGCATGGAATAATAATATTTTGTTACAAGTAGCTGCTCAACAGGCTCTAGTTTACTGCAAGAGACATTTAACTAAGGGTAAAGATGGGTGCCTGATCTTATGCTTTGGAAGAAAATGGCCCCCTTGCTCAACCTTCATGGTTGACAGCTAGTAAAGATTATTTCGTGACATTCTATGCATGCTTTACTTTGACAGTCATTTTGTGTAAGGAAATCAACATTGCATTTCAAAAAGAGGAAGAATGGGAGAAAAAAGGAAAACATGCAAAGGAAGGTAAATCAGTTTGGAATCTGAGAGTTGGGACTGCTTGGAGACTGCTGGGAATTTCATGTGCCAACTAGCTCTGTAACAGGATAGGGTGATGTTTTATTCATCACCTGCTTTATGTCAAAGTCCTTTTCTAGGGATAACCACATGAATGAATATTTCAAGCAAGGCATTTCCTTTAGATACACACTCCCATTTAAAAATAATTCAAACCATTTTCAAACAAATCCCCAAGACAACACTTGCTGCTTCATAATTGTTTGGGAAAATTAAGCATGACCAAATCCATGGTTCACAACACGAAATGTTTTGCTGTCCTTTCTAAAGCTTTGCATTAAATCCTTCTACATTAGCTGCTAATGTGAAATGCCTGCTCTGGTAAAGAAACCATCACTAGTGACTTACAACTTAATAAAATTGCTCAAAAGAAAACAGGCTGTTAGGGGGTTTCACCTGGGAATTTCCATCAGAGCTTGTAAATGCTCTGCACAAGGATTTATGAAAGAAGCTTCAGGTTTAGAGCCAGAGCTCCACTGATTAGTAGAGCAACAGTTCTGCAACTGTGAGGAACATTCTCCAAGTGAGGTAATGCTAAGCCAGGATTTATTGAATAAAACCACAATTGCTATGGTTCACACAATATGTTAAGCATAAGTCATAGTTTATAAATTGCAATGGCTAGGTTCACAAAACGCATTGAGTCAGCTGTTTGCTAAAGGAAACAAAAGCTGTTTTCTAGTCTCTACAAGCTATTTCTATCATCTTATTAGCCAGACTAGTTAGACAAGTACTCTCTGCATCACTATCTAATCACCAAATCAGTACAACTTTGGGACAAATATCTACTGAAGGACCATAGAGGGAGGGAATAAGTTAGACTTACTGGGCTGCTGAACATGTAGACTTTAGAGTATTCACACCAGGACTATTAAAAAGAAAATTCTAGATGCCATAACATGTATCTATATTAAATATAGATACAAGTTACTCAAGTATGCGTTTAAGTCCTGCTTCATGTTCCTTCAGACTTTTTTCTTCTGTGATGGACATATAAAAGTAAGGCAGCATTCCATGATCAACTCAGTAACTCAATCAGGGTTCCTCCTTGCATGCAGGAACTAATTTCACCCCAGTCCACTGAAAAACAATTGACTAAGCTTTTTTTCCTAAGCTAGTCATTAGCAGGTATGCCTTTTGCTTTAAACTGGCCAAATTAAAGCAGCTACTTTTTTATTAATAATTTTGGCAAATTAAAATTGGGAATGTATGCATCTATGTACAGTATGCATGTGTACATAGGCCACCTCTGATTTGGCCTGACCCAAATAATGCTTTTTCCCAAAGTACCAAAACAAATTCAGTCTTGTGGTTGCTAGACACCTCTAGTTTTATTAGTGTTTTAAATTATTCATGTTTGTAATTGTGTATTACTTTATTTTTGTGAACAGCTCTGTGAATCTCCAATGAATATTAAATAATAACAAGGGTTTATGTATCTTGGACTCAGAATGAAATTTATTATTTCATTCAGACTTTGGAGCATCTGCCTGCATCCTGACTTGGAAATTAGACTTTCTGAGAGAACTCTATGCCTATATGCCCCTCAGTACCTACATTTAAAACATTATTTTACAGGCTAAAGGAGAAGATGCACACTTTTTTTTTTCCAGAACAAGGATTCTACTTGGCTTTTCAGTAGCAGGCTGGTGACTATACTACAGAAAGTAGAGGGCAGGGGGAGGCTGAACAAAGAGCTAGGTAGGGGCATGACCAAAAATAAATTTGATTAATTTATATTCAAGGGCCAATTTGGTATAGTGGTTAAAGCAACAGGCTTTAACTGGGAGATTGTGAATTCTAGTCTCACCTTAGGCACAAAGCCATCTGGTTAACCTTGGGCTGTCTCCCTCTCTCTCAGCTCTAGGAAGAAGGCAATGGCAAACTACACACACACCTAAATTCAATTAAAATAACTAAATACAGATAACATATTACATTCCCTGTATTGAACCATTTTTCTCTTCTTGCAAAATTTAATAATTTTTTGGAAACGCTCCAGTTCCCTTGAATTATCTTTAGAAACAAATAAGCACATGTTTTTCCATCTCTTTCAAGAATAATTTCAAACCCAATACTAGGTGCATACACGAGAACAGTGGGATTTCTTATATAGCTGATTGGAGATCGAAATAGGTTTTAGAGGCAACTGTGATGGAAGGCATGAGTGGGGAACATTCTGGAATGAAGCTTCAAGGTTGCCGGGAGGGGGAAGAGAGATTCCAGGGGAAGCACCTCCTCAGCCCCCAGCCGGAGTGTGGGAAAGTCA